AGTAAAGGTAAACCCTTTGTTAACTTATCCAATATAAAAGCAGCCCTGGAATACTAGTATTTCCATACAGAGGGGGGGTAATACCTATTCTAAATAAATTTATTAAACCTATCCCCTCACATAGTTTAATTTGCTTAATTCTTCTCCTTCTAAAAAAATACTCTTCGCATTGTACACATCACAATGAATCTGCATTTTTGCATTATTCTAATTGGTATGATTTGTGCTTAATTCACGGGAAAAAAATAATAACAGCGTGGAGAGCATATCTATACAATGCGTGTTGCATGAATGCTTAATGCGCCCCATCAGTATATCGTACTGTGTCATAGATGCTTTTACAACGTGTACATTACAGGTATTACTGTATATATACCTAAATAGCACATACATATACTACGTATATCCCATTTTATGTCTACCACCAATTAATGGAGGCGAAAAATCGAGGCGGTATGCAGTAACCAGCCCATAATAATCCCTCAAAACGAATTAGGAAATAATAAAGATAAATAGTAAGGGGAATTATGTCTTAACAAAACGTAGGGTACAAAAAGAAAAAAAGAGGAAAAAAAAAAGCAGAAAAATAAATATTAGCAAGAGAAAACTTATGGTACATTTATCCTGGTCCCGTAGCGTGAACATTCTTTTTTTTCCTAGTATGCTATCGTTGATACGACAATAAATAAAATCATAAATTAATTTTTACAATATAAACGTTTGTTATAGGTAAAAATTTAATAAAAAAAAAATTCTACCGTATCAAGTATTTATTAATTATCATTTTTATGCGCAACGTGCTTTCTTTGAAAATAATGAAAAAAAAGAAAAGAAAAAAAACTCCCTTTTTCTTCTCATTGGTACATATATATAGATATTTTTGCATCTATAAATGCCTATGCCTCTGGCCAAGCAAAATTATTTTGAGAGTAAAAAATAATATTACGAATACATGAGTAGCAGTTCTATAGACCTGCATCCGCGAGCTTCTGCCCCAATTTATTTGTACGATACGCATCTTTGCAAAAATATATATATATACATATATATACGTATACGCATATATATACATATATAAATATATACATGTATATATGTACGACAATGCACGTATTCTGCCAAAGCCCTGCAATGTCGCTTTCTGCGTCGCCATTTTGTCCACAGTTATGCATAATCAGTAACCATTCTGTTTTTTTCATAAATTATAAATAAACATCAATTTTAACTCTCAAGAAATGCTGCATTCGTCTTCGATTACTTTTTTGTACAGATCTTCCGCCTCAAGATTTAGACTCTGCGAGTATGCATCTGAACTATAAGATGTTATACGTGTCTCCTGCCATAATAAACGGAAAAGGGGGACAGACATTTAAGTATAAATATAAATGTACATGTGAACAGGTTTTTTTAGTGGTGCCTTTTTCATAACTCATGTGAATGTAAAGACCACATACGTGCATTCCTAATTCTGGGAGGAACATTGCAAACCTGCATAACTAGAGAACCAGTCGCATTGCATAGTGCCTGTATATTCTACTTGTTCCGCTGTTAGCTTGTTTCTCTCGCAAGGGGTCCTCTCCCCCTGGACGCCGCGTTCAGCTAAGTAGAACAAGGGAATATTCACCCCCAAAGTAGTCCCCCCAACCCCTGTTTATTCACATTTCAAAGACAAAACGTGCTCTCCACTTCTTCGCATTTGTAAACGTCCTTGATAATTAAAAAGTTCCATTCACACATATAAAAAGAAGAAAATACAAAAGCACAACTAACACAAAATGGAGGCCCATGTAATAGAGAGCCTAACTGAAATGAGCCCACTGGCCCAAATGTCCGAAGAATACAACAAATGGAGAACGTCAATTATTTCCGACTTCATTAGTAACTTCAATGATTTAAATAGTGTAAGTAATCCAAGATGCCAAGGAATTTACAGAAGCTTAAACCACTGGTTGGATGATAATCGTGACGAGTTTATCCTGAACAAGGCTAAATTATTTGGCATCACATCTCCGGAAGATGCATGGCTAACATCTATAGAGAACCCCCTGGTGGAAAAAATCGAGTCCTTAGATTATTTATCACTATTTAAAAGAGCCCCTTATAAATATCCAAAAAATTTAAGAGATGTCCTCGGGGAAGTAGAAGAGTTTCTAGACGAAAGAGATATATACATTCAGGAACTGGACATGGATTGTACATCTGACGAGTATTTACTTTTCAAAGACTGGATTAACAGAAAGAAAGATTATTTGACAAACCACGTCGATTGGCACTTGGTAGAAAAAAATGAAAAAGACATTCCACCCGCACTCAAGTCAAGGTTCGACTTGAACAACGTATTCAAACCTGAGTCCTACTGCAGAGCTGGTACGTCACATAGGAATTTACCAAACAATGGAAATCTCGTGAAAACGTATGAACCTCCCATTCTAAATAAAGACGTTACTGCCATTGTCCCTAAAAGTTTCTGGGCCAATCTTCCCGAAAGCCTGATCCATTTAAATCCGATTATAACTGTCGGTATCATTGTCATGCAATTCTTTTTGTTCTATTTCCTTCTGCAAAAGGTAAGTGAAGCGCAAACAAGGGACCTTATGTCAAGTCGTAATGATATACCCCATGAGGCCCATCCTTTCGATGAAGACGAATGGAATGAGCTCCACCTGTTGCAAATTTGTTCTTGTATACATAATACACCTCTGTTTGTATGTTCACTCTGCTCCCGTCATCTGCTTAATCATATTATGTACACACTCGCCATTCCCCATTTTCCTTACCACAGAACTTCTCTGATGACTTCGACGTAGACGGAAGATACCCCAGAAGAGAGCTATCCCCTGATGGCGAGGAACTCTATAACCCGGACGGCACCATAAACCCTGCTGTACTTGGAAGAGGAAATAAATCAAAAAATGAATACTACGCTTTTTACCCTGTGAAACCAAACAAGGGAAAGGATACTAACGAAAAAAAGGAGAAGAATGTCCATGATAATGGGGCTAGGTCGTCACGACATAAAGCGAAAGGATTAAGTAAAAAGGAACTAGCAAAATTAAAAAAAGAAAATTTACCAGACGAAATCGATGTGGAAAATTTGACGAAAAAACATACCTACGTATTCCCAAATGAACACAACGATGGACTGACCATCATTGATATATACGTCCCATTACACAACAATGGCGAGGAAGTGATGGAGTTGACCAAGGAAGAAGTTTTGGATGTCTGCAGGGAGCTATTTAGAAATAGAAAAGTTCAAAAAACAATGTCAGATGAGGATAAAGAATTAGTCAAGAACGGAAAGAAATACGTTGTTCTGTAATCACCCTTTGATAGGCACGAGAAGAGTGGCGCAAATGGAGACGAGGGGAAAATACAACATTTATGTAGTAAATAATAAATAATAACAACCCTTTTTACAACTCATCCAGGAGAAGTAATTAATTTATAACCCTTCTAGCAAGGTCAAATTGCTATGCCGCTCAACGCGAAAAGGAAAAAAATACATAATGTTATTTCGCCAAAACGAAAATGTTGTACCAAGCTGATAACACATTTTTTGGAGGAAAAAAAAAAAATAAATAAATAAACTTTATACATTTAAAAAAAAAAAAGGGAGAATTGTATCCGGGGAGCAGCCCTAAACGAAACTCTCATTTTGTTTATGATCATTATTTTGATATTACCAACAAACTTGTTTACAACACTTTTCATTTTTGTCCTATTAATTTATGCTGCACAAACATCCACAGTTAAAATGCATCATTCCCAATTAAGTCAATTAGTTCTATATATATATATATTTATTATTTCTTTCTTTTTTTCACCTTCTATGATTAGCTTAAGTTGAAAATTTTCACAACCCTCTTTTGTTTAATTACTTTTTCTTACAACAAGATGCTCGCTTTTGCAAAGGGGAACCAAACGAACCACAAATTTACATTTATAAAATCATGATAATCATATTAGCATACCCCACCCCCTCTTTCTCTTAAAATGTGAAAACTGATTCTTTAACAAGCGTTATCTCATTTATCAAGCGTTACACGATGGACAGCTTAAATTCTTTATGTAAATATATTGGACGGAGTGCCTTTCGTTCGCCCTTCCTTTTCCTGCCTTTCTGTTTTTTCATAAAATCTGCTTTATCTTCATGTCATTCGATGTAACTTGTTTGCACTTGCTAACAATCCACCCCATTCATCCACATTCTACCCGATTCTACAATAATGTATAAACGCAAAAGCGCGTTTTGAATGCATACCTAGGGAGAAATAACACAATTAGTTTTTCCTTTAAATGGTCTTAACAGCAAACATTTCTACTTACATTTACGTTCAAGCGCTTTGGTTTGCACTCTGTTTCTTAAGTGCCCCTGCGAAAGTACAGTAGCCAATTCGAATAACACATTTGAAGTCTTACTGCCAAATTGCGCAGAAAGAAGAAGTTCCTGAAATTGTTATACACATTTCGCAGTGGGACCATCTGGACTTAACAACATCCACCTTTCCACTTATGCATATCAGTAGGAAGGACAACCATTCATCTAGTCACTCACGATGTTGTTAGTTCGCTCGTACGTAACATGAAGAAAGCCGCAAAGAATACCTTCCCCTTGCTGCATGCATTTAATTTAACGGCCTATATGCAACATCCCGCATTGCCTTTGTATTTCTACAATTGCAAAACGTTAATTAAAGCCCTGAGCATGGCGAAAATGTATATACACCAACAAGCATGACACACCTCATAACAGTACACACACAGATACCATAATAGCTGTTGAAATCATTAAACGCAGCGGTCATTAAAGCGCAACCCTTGTAAGCCACACAGAAGTACCTACAAGTTGCCATCGTTCTCACCATCAGGATCACTGCAAAGAGAAAAATATAACTCCAGCCAGACGGAACAAAAACGAAGCTTTAAGAGAAACTCGGTAGCAACTTCAAAACGCTACCATAGGAAAGTTAACTTCGTAGTACGCATAAAACATAGTCGTTCCAACAAGAAAATAACAAATTCTACTTAATACAGTGGACATGAAGAAAGCAAAGAACCCACCCCACCCATTACAACTGACGCATAGGCGACAATAATAACAGACAAAACACACACCTCAATTTGAAAAGTTTAAATATTTGAAAAGTTTAACTAATTGGAAAGTTTAACCATTTGAAAATTTTAACTTACGCATTAGTCACAAAAAAGGGGAAAAAGAAAACACTCATGTTAATTGTTTTCTGCTAGGAATATAATCCTCATAACAAAGTGTCACCTCCTTACTTGTAAAAAATATTCACATATGAGGAGGTATATATATTACAATAGGCAACATTATTAATCCTAATTTTTCTCTTTGCCTTACAGTTGTACCTTATTGGCAAAAAAACGAAAAAAAAGCATTGCTAGAAAATGGCGAAACCTTTAACTTGTGAAAAAGATGTTCGTAAAGATAAGCTATCGAAAGAAAAAAATTACTACGAAATAATTAGAACTTTTGTATTTTAACAAAAGAAAAAATTTAAAGTACACAACAATGGGGTTATTCAAAAAAAATAGATTAAGCCTTATATATTGTGCATAGAGGCTAATAGGTAAGATGTTTTCAATTCATTTCTTTATTACAAATTATTAGCAAACACATATAATTGCTCCTCCGCAAAAAGAACTCCGAGCGCTCTCTCTTCATTTGTGTGGTTATAGCACAACAAATTTGTTTACAATGGCTAATACTATATGCATTTTATATTATATAAATTCCTGGTATAAATATAAAAACATAAAAAAGAGGCATTTATAGGTTCCAATAGAAGGAAGCCCGATTTTTGTTAATTTTATATATATAATTTTTTCCTGAAGAAAATATAACAAAAATAAAAAGTACAGTAAATCAAAATTCAGCGTGTACGAGAGCAACAGTATTGATGGTACCTCTCCATATAACTTTTTTTTTTACCCTTTTTGGGGTTCTTCCAATTTTTTCTTTTGTGTTTTTTACTTTTTTAGTTTTTTGCCTTTTCCGCATTATGTCTTTCCCGCTTTGTACTTTTTTTTGAATACCATTCGTTTTATTCTCCTCGATTTATTATTTTTAGCTTTTATGGCTTTATCCGTTCTCACCTGTGCGTCCTTTTGCCTCCCCGTTCTTATGATGGTCTATTTTTGCAGTGTATCCGTCCGTTAATTTCACTCTTATCCGATGTTACTTCTGTCCCCCTCGCCTATTCTTCCTCTTTTTGTTCTTGGCATAACAATGAAGGCCCCCATTTTTTAGTCTCCCGAAATGTCATCACCAGAAATGATTTTTTAGTAGAAATAATAAAAATATTGCATTTCCATTGGAATTGTTTTTTTCTTTTTTTTTTGTTTACACCATGTTTGAGCGTCTAGAAGAAAAGTGGCTTCCTTTTTGCAAAAATGATGATTTTATAAAAGAGGAAGTTGCTCGTTATAGCTTACTTTTCTCCAAGTATCTGAACATACCTGAAGGAAGTAACCCGAATTCTTCATTATGCTATATCTATATTGCTATGTCTATTGTTTTACACTATGGGTTAACGTGCCTCACTAACTTGGTAATGATAGTCTGCACAAGAGCGCTTATCTGTCCATACGTACACGGATGCCACATATCCTTGCTATATATCGATTTATTCCGCAAGCTGTAGCTATACCCCCGCTCACATATATATGACTCTCTCTAGATAGCCTATACATTTAAATTGAAAAACTGCAATAATAAAAACTATTCCATCGATGGAGCAACCATAGCAACCCATCTGACGATTTTCCTTAAAATTCCCCCTTTGTAGAACCCCATCAAAAGAAGGGAACTTCGCAGATACCATGACTTGTCATACACCCATTTTGAGGAAATTAAAAAAAATGATACGAGTGCACACTCATCCAAAGATAAAGATTACAACCGAACAGACAAAATTGTCGATCAAATTGTAAATCCAAACTTTCCAAACGTAGAAATTGGAACCAATTCGAATCTAACGGACCAATCTGTTTGTCACGTAAGGGGCGAATATTTTCCAAACATAACGAAGGAAAATTTTGCGAAAAGAGATGGCCATACATTTTCAAATATTCCGGGAGATAGCTTCTCCGAATTGGAAGGCGAAAATCTGACACATATAAGAAAACATAAATTTTTCATACTTCCAAAATTGGAAGTTGCAATGCGGAGACGTAGATCCAAATTTTCTAAGGCAGTTATACCTAGTAAAGGTAACATAGATAGAGAAACCTGCCCCGACATAACCAATGAGAGCTTATTTAATATTATGAAAAAAAAATCACAAATCGTTGAATCTAAAAAATCACCAAACACAATAACGAAGAACTATCCAAGCGATGAATTCAAAAATCCTCTTAATCTAGAGTCCAAACAATCTCTAAACGCATCAACAGAAAATTTGCCTAACGTGGCAGCAAATAAATCATTTAGCATACAAGCAAAGAGGACCCCTGCAGTAGAACAAAAGAATATCTCTGATGTAGAAGCAAAGAGGACCTCTGCTGTAGAAGAAAAGAATATCTCTGATGTAGAAGCAAATAAGTTATTCCCTGCTGTAGAAGAAAAGAAGACCCCTGCTGTAGAAGCAAATAAGTTATTCCCTGCTGTAGAAGAAAAGAAGACCCCTGCTGTAGAAGCAAATAAGTTGTTCACTGCTGTAGAAGAAAAGAAATCCCCTGCTGTAGAAGCAAGGAACACCCCTGTATTAGAAGCAAAAAAAGTGACTAAGGTAACAATTAAAGGGGATCCCAACTTAGGAAACAACAAATCTCCAGCACAAACAATAAGAAAACCTCTCGCGGAATCCGACAAGAAAACTACCAATGCGACAATCGAAAAGGAATCGACACCCATCGCACATCAGACGGAACCAGCTGCAAAGTCTCACTTCCAAAATTTTCTGAACAATGCTATATTCTGGTTGAAGGAAAAAATACTCTCACAAATGAATACGATTAAGAAAAAATTATTAGGAGTTAAGACGCAACCATCTGAAGCAAGAAAAGCAGGTGACAGAACAGATGACTCGGAGAAACCAGAAAGAGAAGAACACTCGGAGGAATGGAAAATACAACAATTTCGAAATTGGATAGACAATTTGGACAAAGAATACAATACCTGGAAGGTTTCACTAGGGAATGATAACCAGTGGTTTCTTGAGAAAAATGTAGTATTTCAAAATATCCTCAATAGAATAAAGGAAAGATGGATATTCTGGAATACAGACACTCTGAAAGATATCAATGAGGGGAAAATCAGGTTAAAAGATTTGGACATTGAAGAACAGTGGAGTAAGTGGTTGGACACAAATTGGAAATCTTATAATAAGCGAATCTGGATTGACCTCACAGATTCGTATGAAAAATTGTATTATCATTGGATACGTACTGAGTGGAATAAATGGAGAGAGAAAAAAATGACAGAATGGACATCACAAGAATGGAAAATTCACGAAGACGAAAAGTGGCAACAATGGGAAAGTCGGAAATGGGCAAAATATTTTGAACGCAAAGAAAAAAAGAAATGGATCAAATGGATTAAAAGAAATGAAATGGAAATCACGACGATAAGGAGCTGGCAAAGGGAAAAAGGGAATATGCTTTTGCAAGGCGATGACTCCTTAAATTGGGATAAGTGGAAGGAGGAAAAGTTCCAAATTCTGGACGAATATTTGGATTCGCTGAAAAACCACTGGCTAGCGGAGAAGAAGTGGTTGATCTTGACGAATGCGTCCAAGGAACGGGAGCAGGCTGGAGAGCGGGCCGCCCCAGGAGGGGAAAAAGCGGCTGTAAAAAATGCACAGAAAAATAGGGATAAAGCTGACGATCAAACTGACGAAGTGAATTAGGAAATTTAAATAAGTTCTTATAAGTCCCAGCACTTTGTTACTTAATCGACATGTATGCGGATTTCCCTCACACAGCCGCTGTAATTGTGCATACATGTAATGGAAAATTCGAAAGGGAGCTAACATAATACCCCTACCCGTTTGATGTCAAAAAAAGGGAATGCACAAAATGATGGTTTCTAGATCGTATTAGATAGATATTTTGAAACGTTCCACTTTGTCATATAATATTTAAAACGAAGAATGTCAGTCTAAAAATAGTGCATGGGGATTCACGTTCAGTGGATTCCCATGAGCATGGACAGAGGTAACAGGTAGCATTTAACACATGTTACGGCGTAGACGCATCCATTGGAACCGTGGTGATCGCGGAAATCGCCCTTTCTTTGTAAATTATGCATCATCCCATGTATCAAAGCGTGATGCTAAATCGTTAACTTAAGTTAGCTTTTAACTTAATATATATTTTTTTTGGTACGCGTATCTCCATATGCTCATGGCTACTTTTATTTATTTGTTCACCCTTATAATTTGTTTAAAATTCCTTTATGGTTTGATTCGTATGTGCGGAAAGGGTATAGTATACCACTTCCTCTGCGCCCCCAACCCCCTTTTTTTCTGTTTTGTTTTCGTCAAAATGTAAGTTTTAAATTTTGGAATTTTTTAAAAAGACGCACATACGTGCTAAACTGCTAAATATGCATATATTTCTGTGCATATATGTGGGCTAATAAAAAACAATGTGCACGTATACAATTTAAACACCGCGGCAAAAATTGCCGAGTCTCTTTCTTTTTCACCTTTCAACGTGCTTCGTCACATTTACTTACGATGATTCGCATTTGTAATAGCTTCTCCGTAGCAGCGAAAAAAAGGTAATGTATTAGCTTAACATGTCTTGACAAAGTGCGCAGCAAAAAAATATGGAACGAAGAATTTTTTACGCACTAACATATGAGTTTATTGTAAAAGGTTTCTCACACACGTTGACTTCACAATTTTTTTGGTTAACCTATGCATTAAAAAACAAAAAAATACTCTTACTCGAAGGATTTCACTTAATTCCAGAAACAAATAAGATGATAAAATGGGGAAAACTATCGTACACAGTTATTTTTTTAACTTTTTGGCGGAATTTCTTATGCTCCTAAATAGTAACCAAAATGACAACTGAACATACGCGCACATTATAAGTTACCACTTGTGTGCACTGTGCAGTACACATCATAATTTTCAAAATTCTGTTGCTATACAGAGATATTTTATATTTTCCATTTGGCACTTTCGCTTACATATGAATAACAAAGGATGGCTTTTTTTTTCTTCTTTCTTTTTTTTTGCTTCCTTTAAAGTGAAAATATAAGAAAGAATTTGCTAACCACTCCTACATCATTTTTCCGCATGTACGAACATATATTTTTTGTTATATTTACATATAAAGAAGTGACCAAAGGTTAGAAAATTTTGGTGTAAAAAATAATTGTTCTTTTCCTTGAAACTAGTTGCGCGATACAAAAAAAGTGTCACCCATAAACGGCAGGGCTGATATGCTATTCTCTCAGAAGGCACAGCTCACCTTATAATCCTTAATGAATATTTTCTTTCTCCAAGTATACTTCGTAAAACAGCGCGACATTTTTCATCCGATATGTTAAAGAAGCCAATATCTTCATCTTAAAGTTACATATAGGAGTAAACTTTTACATTTTTTTTCGAGGAATTTAGAGGAAATTACGCCCCTTCTTCACACACACACGTCAAATACATTTAAAAGGACTCTCTTTAAAGCAAGAAAAAAAAAAGGAAAAAAAGTTTACATTGCGAAAAAAAAATGAGGTGATTTTTCCTCCCCCCGTCAATCTGTTATATTTATTGGGAACTCAGTTCACTTCAGTGTGATTTTAGAGAAGGCCATTTTGCATAGACAAGGACAAAAAAAAAAAAGAAAGGAAATGCCTTCACAAATTGCTTCTTAAAATGACACTCCCCATGATAACACCCACGTACATAATCTATGTACATTTTTGTAGATAACGTAAAAATTAGGTAGCAGACATAACACTTCTTCACTTGAGTGCATATAACACAACATATAAGTCATTCCCTTAGTTCATAAAATAATTTCTTGCAACCCCCAGCGCATATGAAAAAATAAAATAAAAATAAATGTCAAATATAGGGGCTTAAATACACTTCACGTTAACTCGGTATACTAGGTCGGGAGCAAAGGATGAAATTTTTCCGCGATAAATTTTTAAATGAAGTACCATCAAAATGATGAAATTTACAAAGGAAGGGACTTAAAAAGCGAATTTTTTTTTAAACATTTGAATACCTAAGGAACATAGGAAAAAATTGATTAATGCTCCCCCCCATCTTTACACTTTCTTTTTCCCGCCATAGGGCGAATGCATAACTCTTGTATATATCCATATCAGATGAACGTATATAAATGTACATATGACGTAAAAAAATGCTTACATCTTCAAATTCCATAAAAAATATGTATTGCGCAAAAATCCTTCGAAATCGAACCCATGGAGTGAGTGCTATGACTTGACTCTGAAAGGGAATGCTAGAGGGACAGAAACATATCATACGTAATATGACTCCTTTTTTGCTCCATTACATGTGGAAATGTTTTCATTCAATAAGTTTTGTACTTCTTGAGTGAAGAATCCCCCCACCCCAAAACATCACCGCGCCACCAAAATGCCAGAAACATTAACCGGCATACACAACCATTTTAGTTTTTCCTCTTCTTCCACCTCCTACATTAGACCAATGCGTTTGTAAAGAGCGCAAGCTTGCCTGACGGTTCAATATGCGATTTTAATTTTATTAGGGCAATAAAATGTTGCACACAGGGCATACGCATGCGGCAATTTATAAGTATTAAGGCATTTGCTTAAATACGCCCATGGAGGAATGCGCATGGGGGCATATAATATACACTGGTGAATAAATACGTCCATGCATAAGCACAGATATAGGGGCATATACAACTGCATACATAATTTCATCCGTAAGGGTAAATGTGTTCTCAGATGAATACGTAAGTTCACATGCAATGACACAAAGAAACGCCCATGCTTCAGTCCATATAAAGCACATATAGTTAAGGGATATATATGGGCATATACCCATATGACCAAACACACGACATAAATAATGACTACATTCATACGCCCATTCATAAGTAATAAGAGTTCGCACACAGCCATATATTCAAATACATACATAATTGCATACAAGCACATATAAAAGCAAATACCAAGTACATGCATAAGTACCTTCATAAGGCAATATACCTAAGCACATAGATACATATACAATATACAAAGCACGTATATAAGGCAATAGCCCACATACGTACTAAGGACATGCCACGTACATGCCACGCATATACCAAAGTACATCCTGAGCCAATAATGCACACGACGCACGAAGGCTTGGCGGCCGCCCGCCGAACGGCCGTTCCCGCGAAAGGAAAGACATATGAGCAAAAGGTTGATTTACTTAAACTTGTAGGGTGTATTATTTATGCATCCATACGTAGTCCATAGGAACTTACATATGCGCATACGCAAATAGTAAAAGTGCGCTAATACTTGGTTGTAAAAAATTAAACACCCACGGATGAGCCTCAACAGATCGTAAAATGAGATTTACTTTCATGTTTACAGCACCAGGGGGAATTCGAGTCGTCTACAGGCAATTTTCTAATTGTATTCTGTATTATAAAATTTATGGTGAAAAGTATTCTTCGCAGTCTTCACAAGGGAAGAGGCCGCATAGCATCCCAGGTTCAAGCAACTGAAAAATGGAAAAAAGGGCAACCCGGTTGTTTCCCACCCTCGACCGTAACTTAAAAAGTAATACGGGAGCATAGGTATAACAACAAACCGCTCATTCTACCACACTGCAAAAGGAAGCGTAATGTCACTCTACAGTTTGGAAAAAATAGAACATAGCTGCTTCTACCATAGATAGCCACAATCTCTGTAACGCAATGCTACCCCCTCTCTTCTTTCAACTTTGAGAAATACTTTGGCAGATGGGTTACTAATATACTGTTATCCTACAAAAGTAAGAAAGCAAATATATCTATTCTTTTTCCAGTTTGCTTATAAAGCAAAACATTCGAAAAGCCAAATTATACAGAACACGCTTACAGTAATGTTTATTCAGCATGGATTCTGGCTTCAGATGTATTCAGCCATTATCATCCAACAGACGTAGCTTCGGAACTCTGGTTTGTCAACCAATTCCTGTACCAAATGTCTGAACCAACTTATCCTCTCGTACTGAGTTGGATTACCGTCACATTATCAATGCGTTATTAAATTAACAATTTTCATCAGTAGGTTAAAAACTAGGCAAGTCTCATGACTGCCCGAAACTCAGCTCACGTTCCCTGTTAGCGGTTGAACAATCCGACACTTTGGGACTTCTTCGTCCCAATGATAGGAAATGCTGATATTACAAAATGGTCAAAAAGCTACGTCGCTAAAGTCGCTCGGCGGCCGCAAGAAAGTTATCCCTATTATAACCCTTTTCCTATCACCCCTTATTTGCACATCATATGGAAGGGGGCATACGCAGATATACGCAATTGCATTACGTACATATGTACGTATGTACATATGCACATACATACATATATACGTGTGCGCAAACGCATCTCCGCGATGCCCATACCATGACGTCCTCGCAGGAATAAGGACGTGATAATTACAGGCCATACAACTCCCCCATAAGAAGAAGTACTACCTTAACAGACATTTCTTATATCGCAAAGTCCACAAGAGATTTCTGTTCTCTCTGAGTCTGCTAACTGCATTCACATATTATACCTTCCACCCTTTATCGAAATAAAAGATGAAAGGCAAATATAGTGGCGCTGTAAATTAACTCCCCACTAGGCTGTGTCTCCATAAAATGCTATTAAGGGGAAGAGCATAATACATACGTTTTTACATACGTATCTGCTCCTTTGATCCCCACACTAAAGGATGAGTAAAAAGACTTTGGATGGAGTGGTATTTCACTTGCGCGGAAACATCTTTCAGAATTCCGCTCCCACTTATGCTACACAATCGGGAGCCTTTTTACAGAACCTACCTGGAGTCGAGTTCAATAAGGTCTTCTATGACCCAACTGATTTAACCAAGCCTGTATTCCTTGGTTGTGGTTTCGCTAGATTGCAAGTAGGGACAGCAGGAATTTTGTTTATCTGCTCTAAGTGATCTGCATTATTAAAATCGCCAGGCCGTCATCTAAACCATAGGTATATAATATATTACCACATAAGGCATGCAGGGACAGATAGAACACCCGTCTCACAGGCCCTATGCTTCATAGTATTATAAGCCCCTAGCAAGAATCAGAGGGCGTGCATAATGACGAAACACTTGGCTAATATTAGAAGCTGTAGCAACTACTTCCGCCATTTGCCTGTGCGTTTATTGAATTACAGCCACTCTGGTTACTCAAAAGCACTGGGCAGAAATCACACTGCGTCAAGTGTGCTCCAATAGAGTACCTATACATAAACATATATACATTATACGCATACACGTACATGTTACCTACTCTCTGAGGGCGTTCACAGTGCTATGTCTCAAACAGTCAAATTCCTCTTGTCAGTTTCAGTTCTGATTCGACACTTTATATATCTACGTCAGTCATGGCCTGCCCCATTTTAAGACACGCTGGTGCAGTGCACTTAAATAGGAAATACGATAACATTCGCAGTACGAAAGAAAGGGTGTAAAGAAATATATATAGCAGGGGGGAACAGAACGAGCATATAAAAAGTATGAACGGATGAAAAATCATCCAGAACAGCCTTCATATATATACGCCTCCGTTCACCCCCAGACCTATAAGAATAACTAACCACCCCATCATGGATCTTCGCTTAGTATCATCAGAGCCATATCCTTATCCCGAAGTTACGGATCCAATTTGTCTTACTTCCCTTACTTACATTGTTCTATTTAACCAGAGGCTGCTAACCTTAGAGACCTGATGCGGTTATTCGGTACGCACAACAATGGTATTCAGCATATATGAAAATGTGAAGAGGAACAAAATTCCCCGCTGGAACAGGAATTTCTCCTCTATTTTCAAAATTTACTTGTTCCCTCCTTTTTTCAAGGATAGTCCTTACGCTTTCGAATAATTCCGTAAAAAAAAGAATTACTATTACTACAAAGGTCGGAGAAGAACTGCATAGAAGAACAGGGATTCCCATTCCAATGTGCAGGTTTTTCTCCGATATGCAGGTTCAGCATACCTCTTCTCCAAGTAAATTGCTACTCCGAGGTTTGCCGCAAAGTTAAGTGCAAAGATAACGCACCTCGAATGTAAGGCCTATGTTAAGGAGTTCATTTGCTATTTATGTTACCACCTTTCTGTTTTTTTCTGGAAAAAAAAACCCTGAACGTTATGTTTTATATACCATTCGTATGGCACAGGAATGTTAACCTGTTTCCCTTTTGAGGAGGCGGGGGGGCCAGAACTACACAACGTATGCCTATACATGTGTGGCATACATAGATATACGTATATATATATGTATGCACACAATATATATGCATACACTGTGTAATCTCTTTTCCCGGCCATTTTCCAACCCTTCGGTTGCCTCTTAGGAGCGGCTAACTTTTGTACAAACACAGTTGACAAAAAACCCTTCTCCACTTCAGTCTTCAAAGTTCTCATTTGAATATTTGCTACTTCCACCAAGATCTGCACTAGGGAAATGTTCCACGAAAGCTCACGCATTTCGCTTCGACACAAAACCCCACGATTTTCTACTCATAAAAGGGTGACAACATGAAAATGTCACAATGTTACATCTCATTCCTTCTATGGCCCGGTATCGGTAATCCGCTTTAGCGCCATCCATTTTCAGGGCAAGTTCATTCGGCAGGTGAGTTGGAACACACTCCTTGGCGGATCTCGACTTCTATGAGTACCGTCCTGCTGTCAGTACAAACCAACACCTTTTTTTATGGGATCTAATTAGCGAATATTTAGGCACCTTATCCAGGCGTTAGGTCGAACCCTCACAGCCATTTCCTCTCACCGGAAATGGTCCACTTGGAGTTATCATTAAATTCAGAGAAGGCGCCAAAAATTGGAATGACGTACAACTTAGTGTTAAACTATGTTCACATTTTCCTTATAGTACATTTCGGAAAATCGAGAGAGAATTCGTCCCAGCAAACGAAATATCACCCCGCGAACGAAAGTGACACCCGCAACCGGATACGATCCATTGGTCTCATGCCAAAAGTATATATATTGTAATCCTGTACACGCATTTGCATACAAACAGATTACAAAATACTCACCTTTCCATTTGAATAACTGCGTATGCTGCAAACTCCAGCGATCTTGAGAGATCCTTCGAAAATAACCAGTTATTAGGCTTTTCGTTTGGTCTTTCACCCCTAAATGCAGTTGAAATGAACGATTGTTACATCGGTATCAATTGGACCCTCCATCAGACTTTCGACTGACTTCAGTCTCACCACACTTAGTTCAAAGCCTTTCGGGTCCTATCAAATATGCTCTTACTCGGTACAGCATTATACATGGCTGCCCACCGGTATTGTATGCCCAGGAGAAAATTATAAAGACTCCCTCATTCTACAAATTACATATATACAAAATATGCCGTCGCGTACAAAAAAAGTGATAAACTTGTTTAGCTCTATACATATACACTCGCATGTTTGGTAGATTCCTTGGTCCGTGTCTCAAAACGGGTGGGTTAAGAAAGTTCACTAAAGTTGTTAGGATTATCATAAAAGGTAAAAAAAAGAAAACAAAAGACTTAATTTTTTACTATTTAAATGGTTCCTCAGTAAATAGGATATATAATTTTCCTGGGGGGAAAATCAAGTAAACCGTTATATTGCCTTGACCTAAATCCGAAAATCTAGAGGCAATAATTTTAAAGCACAGAAGATCGCAATATCCATTACGTCCCTGTCTTCATATATACAAAAAACATATATGGTTTCGTTTCTGCTATCCCAATTCACTGATAATCCTTTTTATAATAAAGAGGAAAAAATAATTCGGAAGAACCATTTCCCCACTTTACTATTCTTCCTCTCTTAATCCGTTCCACCTTAACGATTTCAGGTACTATTTAATGGCTCATTCCTGAGTACTATTTCATCTTTCCCTCACGGTACTTGTTTGCTATCGGTCTCCTACACATATTTAGCTTTATGTGAAATGTATCACACACATTTGTGCTCCAATCTCAAAGAACACGACTCCACAAGTAAAATTCCAAAAAAATAAAAAGCAAAAAACTACGGGCCTTTCACCCTCTTAGGGGGAGCTTTCCTGCTCACTTCGCTTAAATGCTAAATCATTCATCTGGAAAATTACTCAACATGACAATTCCCAAAGTAAGCTTGCACAAACTAAGGGATTTTCCTTTTGAGCTAATCCTTGTTCACTCGCCGTTACTAAAGGAATCATTGTTATTTTCTTTTCTTCCGCTTAATTATATGCTTAAATTCGGCGGATCTGCCCTTCTATTATGTCCTTTATCCTTCAATACTGAAATATGTTTTATAGGTAGTGCACACAGGCTGCCACAAATACCCACACGCAAAACCTATATCACGAGGGGGGAAAATATATAGACCCAAAATAATACACTGTAAAATAAATATATATACATGAGTATCCATATATATATAGTAATATTTACTAGCCCTACCGTACAGAGAGATTCTTCTACTCAAGTGTAAAACACACCTGAATAGAAAAGAAACTCTGCGGGCAAGTATTACTTTAACATCTTAATATCCTCCTCCACCCATGATGAATTTTTATAACTGTCCATCCATTTATACCGAAGTAATGGACACACGGTTAAGAAAAATTCATAGCCCGAAGAAACCGACTCGCATAAGGAGACATACATATGCAGCACATCCTTCTAACGCACCGACCCTCGGGCTATTTCCTGGCCAATTCACGACACACGAAGGAAATCCTCTTCGGATAATATGAAAGAAGGAAAATACGCATACCTTACAATAAAATTTATCGCAAGGCACCCTTTCTTCCCCTTCCTCGGGTAAAACCCTACTGTTGATTCATACGCACAAAGTATATTCTGCACGTGTATATCTCTACAAGTGGTATGCAATATTGAACCGAAACATGAAGACTTATCAAGTAAGGTTTCTATCATGCTCTGTGACAAGGAACATTTTTAGCGTCTCGAAATCTATCCGATCGTTTATGGGCAAATGTAGAGATCCTCCCTCGTTTCCCGCGCAATCCGCTCCACCAATATATACATGTATATATATACACTGAAGGAGCCTCATTTTGCACAGTTGCCGTGAATCCATACTTCAGTAGGCGAAATTTATAAATAAATTTCTTAAAAATAATAGAAGTACTACCAAAATTTAGAGGACCCTTTTTTGGGTAAAAAGGCCTCTTTGGAGTGTAGTTTACATTCAGCATTCTGATGATGATTTGCAGAGATACAAGCAAGAATGCAAGTTTCATTGCCTATCGTATTTTGCTACGGCCTTCATCGCTGTAGGAACCAAGACATCCATCGTTAAGGCTGTTCTAACTTTAAACTTCACACTTAGGAAATACGCCGCAAAGCGAGCATAGCCATAATGCTCTATTTAGGTATAATATAACATATACCTGCAAATATGCACATATACTTCTGCTCACTCTGTGCCGCCCCCGTGCTCGTCCAAAATTAGTAGTTATACACTGTAACATATATGCACTATATGTGCCACGATTTAATATATGGAAAAAATTGATTCTTAACTATGCTTCAGATTATGATGAGTTATGAGTGATGATTGCTAACTACGGAGCATTACAATCTGTGCATTATGTGAAGTATATATATATACCTATTAGAATACTATTATACTTCACATAGTGCACCCCGCGAGGTTTTCACATTCCGCTAGGTAACAACTAGCTCATTTTTCTATTCGTTCTTTCGAAATTGACCAGCGTCTCAAAAATGAGCGCTACAATAACGGCGTAAATATCTAGAGTGGGCCTTGTCGTCCTCCACATATAACCGTCCCTATGTACATAGATTTATACATTCATATATTCATATGCTTATATTCCTCTGGTGCGGCGAAGCGACCTGCAAATGATTCACACGCCGTAATATTACGCAGCCCAGCATATAATTGGCACAGGCCTTCCCTCAACAGGTTTTTAACTGGAGAAAGCGGCCATGTTATATATTAATTAGGGTAAACGCAAATAACCTAATGTAATAATATAATAGTTCACTGCGCGCCCAGAGACATCTACCTGGGTTCACTACCTGGATTAGGCGCGCAGGGGGGAAGGGTAATACTCATTTTTTCCCTATATACAGTTTCCTTTATGTATTGTACAAATATATAGCCCGTGCAATTACTACTGCATTCTCTAGCTGCTACTCCAGTTCTCTTAAAGGGAAAACACATGAGGAGCGGAAAACAATCATCGTGGTGTAATTACCACATATATAAAAACTATATTCGCAGGCTGCACACCACGATGTGCCTTAAGTAAAATCGTTCCCTTCCGTTCCTTTCTTTATGTGCCTTCTACACTTTTAGAGGTGTTTCCTCCATCTCATATATATGGTCATAAACACTTCCGCCTATCTGCTGGGTACTAAAATATACATATATACGTATATATATATTCCATTCGGATCCCGACGTACAAATACATTTTACTGCTTGGAAAAAGCAATGCGAATTTTTAAAGCACCAATTGGGTGTAATAAAGCAGGCATTAGCGCCTCTAAGCCATAATCCACTTGCAACGATTGGCCACTTCAAAGGCATGAGCTCCATTCATGGCCAATTCAAATTTAGAAGTTCCTTTTTCATTTTTTTAATTTTTCTTCTCAATTTCCTTCCCCAAACGTATGAAAATGTCCCACAATTACACATCTATTACAAAACGCCATAGGACATGCTTAGTGAATTTCCTATTGGCACGAGTTGGTTGGAATAAAACGTGTTCCTGGTCAGTACAAATCGAAAAATTCATGGTAAGTCCCTCTGCGTTCAAAAATTAAAAAAAAACATCCCCTGGTATTATAAAGGTTCGGGGAAAAAATCATCCCCTAGTATTATAAAGGTTCAAGGAAAAAATCATCCCTTCTTATTATAGGCAGCACAAGGAAAAAACCTCCTTATTATGGACAGGAAAAATAGTCATCCCTGGGTAGTTACATACGGGTAAAAACTGATTAAACCCTTGTATAGTAAATTCGGAAAAATATATCATCCGCTGGTACTACAGACTAGAAAATTATATCATCCGGGGGGAGCTTCAAAAGGCGCACAAAATGTACTAATCCCTCGTAGTGTGTTTACTTACAGAAGAGTGTTACTAACTTCATGAGCATCTATATTTGGGTGTATATTCCTTACCAAATTTTTCGAATAAAATTTTGAAGCCTCTAAAATTGCTAAGAATTTTTTTACGTTTTTTTAAATTTTTTTTTCATTTTTTTAAATTTTCTTCCCATTTTCCTCCCCCAAAGGTATGAAAATGTCCCATAATTGGTCATTTATTTCAGATCACCATCGGACATGCTTAGTGAATTTCCTATTGGCACGAGTTGGTCCTAATAAAACGTGTTCCTGGTTGATGCCTATCCAAAAATTGACCGTAGATTCTTCTGCCTTCAAAAATTCTTAAAAAAATTTCTTTTTCCTTTTATCCCTTTATATTCCAAGGTTGGCTAAACATCCCGCACTTAATGATATTTTCCACAAGGTTACTCGGCGCATATTGTAATTTCCTCTTTGACACCCTTGTGTAAAAATGACTTGCATTCTTCGTAACTTCATAGGAAAATTTTTCGTGGAAGATATAAATTTATCCTTGCCGCAAACCACACTTCATAAAATTACACGCGGAACACAACACACGGGAAAAAAATCATACAAGAGAAAAATTTTGAATAAAATACACCAAAGAGAAGAGTAAAAAAAAAAAAAATGTAACTAACCACATACATCTACATAGGAATGAACTTTCTTAAACAAATGTAAAGCAAAATATTCAAACCTAAAGAAAAATACTCAAAGTGTTATCCAAAGATCAAGGGAAGAAATAGGCGTGCAAAATAAAATCATTTGCCTTCTTTTTTTACACTACTTTTCAGTTCGCCCGTTATGCCATAATAGAATGTTTTGTATTGATTAACGTTGCATAAATGTGTCAATTGACTGCGCTAATGCATGGGGGAATGTTTTATAACCCAGCCCTCTGTAAGATACCCTATAGTTTCTCTCCATTGGTCATATTTCTCCGCCCTTCCTCTGATTAGCCACAAGCACTATCCAACATCTTTTATATTGATTATTTTCATAAATGGCGATACTTCATTAGTGCCTTCCCTACAGCCATCGTATTGTTCATAATTCCTTTTCCTTTTTTCGCTTGCATTGACATATGAGCTTGCTACAAGGAACAACTTCTGGAGGGGGTGCCGATGCGCGAAAAACTGACGCTTCCTTGTTAAGCTGAGCACGAAGCATTTGAACCTCCGAATGTTTGCTCGATCATTGATGTCTCATTGCACACATCTGTATGTGCTTGAGCAAGTCAGCGAGTGCATGGCTTCAAGCACATTCGCCTCACTCGTACGGTCATATCTACAATCATGTATATCTCATGCGTCCACATGCATGTAACCTCACGATACCCCCAATCTCGAAATTATCTTAATCAAACAGTTAGCAGAAACATCTTGCGTTTTCCTTTTCTTCTTCAAAAAAAAATCTTGATGCAGCGGGGGGGAAGCATGTTTCCTTATCGGTCCTTGCATAGATAAATGTTCCTGTGTACCTCTGTGACTATACATTTACGCGCGCAAGCATGGCGATTTGTCGCTCCCCCGGCCAACGGCGTAACTCTGCGGAGAATTACGCACCAGCCAAAACAGAAAGGGAAGTCTTAAAAAACATGTTTCAGGTCCCCAGGATACACGAATTAAAGAAAAATGAGCGAACATTAAAAGTGATCGAATATGTACAATTTTGTGTGCAACTGCAGAGACATGCAGGTCACTCTCATGGCTCATTTGTCTCTTCCAAAATGCAATAGAAGACTCACCAGGACAAATGAAGCATTTCGTCAATATAGGTTTCTACATGTACTGAAAGGGCATTTTTCACTGCCATTTCGCTTCAGTGCCTTCATCTAATGCGCCATTCGTGTTTGAGCTAAGTAAAATATGTAAGCTTCGGTGAATAATATAGGATGAAACGCAACATTTAACGGAAGAGTATGTGATCAAGAGGGGGGGGCGCGAAATGCAAAATGCGTGACACAGGTTTGCTCACTATGGGTACCTACGAGGTGATGCATACTCCACAAATGGAAGCAAAGGGAAAACCCCAACTTCGAGGAAAGGCGATCATCATATGCTTCACAAAGTAATGGCACATGAATGAATGGATATATAATAAATAAATAAAACGTTAAAACCTTTACTGCCACAAAAAAGAGAAAAAAACGCGCAATCGCGACAATGTGCCTCCAATAGAAGACCAAGAACATGTCATTTAATGTTGTTGCATACGTCAACGTGAAAATTTTGCAAATATTTTACTTCCTCCCCTGTTAAACGTAAACCCACCGCCTAGCTGCAAAAAGGGCGCTATAGCCGTAATGCAGAATTTTGTAAAAGTAATCAACGTGCTAAAAAACGAATGATAAAAATGAAGAAAGAAAAAAAAATTAATCATCATGGCTAAAATAACAGCACACTATATCGTTAAAAAAGCATCGAAATGCTGCTTTTTTGAGAAATGTCGTCATGACATTTCGAAACAAAAGACACATCAGAAAAAGAAGGAAATAAAAAAGCATGAAACGGTGATGTAGGCAACATGGGGCAAAACATATCAAAGTGTGGGGCGATGTCTCTCCTTTAGTGGGGTGGCAGCAGTTGTGCAGCGGCAATTATGTACATACCATGCATAAGGCGTATAAACATTTGTGAAAAAAAAAATGATAAAACCAAACCAGGTAGCTACTGATTTTGTAATTTTCAACTGGATCATTTGTTTCTTTTCAATCCCCTTCGCAGTCACTTCGTCGATGCTTTTACCTACGCTTTTATGCACTTTGAAAGAGAGTGGCATTTTTACCCTTGGCCCGTCTATACGTACATTTTGGTCCTCCTCTCTGCTTAATTTCGTGTCAAGTATCAGAGATGACCATCACATCTATGTATGGATTACATCTTGCAATTCTGTATGGAATCGTTCCAATCGTTCTGTGGTTCATATAAATTGAGGCATATAAAAAAAAAAAAAAAAAAGTAGCTAGACAGAAGGAATATTAGCTTTCTTAGCCTGTATTTTGGCTGTATATTTTGGCTGTATATTTTGGCTTTTTTTTTTCTTTTTTTTTTCTCTTTTTCGCTACCTATGTTAGCCACTTGTTCAGGTCACCAAATTTTGCATCTTTTTCTCCATTTTTAATTTAATCGCCTAGTTCAGCATCGCTTTAGTGTCCCTCCTATTCCCGGTATGTGCATCAGATTTGTGGAAAAGGCCCAGATTGGTTCTACGATGTTTAAAAGAATAGTTTTTGTACTTTATCCCTCACAGCATTTCTGTTTCTTTGTAGTTTCCCCCCACCTCTGCGTCCATGCTATATATGCACAGAGAAAGCAACATATTCCCATTTTGATGCTACCTCCGTTTTGACACGACCTCCATTCTGCTCCCCCATTTCTGTAAATGTCTGCCACTCTGCTTTTCCTCTTATTAATCCGCTTAACTCTTTCCTTACCGCCTCACAGCGCCAAGACGGCGGATCCGCAAACAATAAAAGATGCAGATTTTGAAATTACCTACGAACCGAATGGCAGGCAACTGCACGTTGGCAGCCTTAACCAGGAAAAGTGCAACAACTACAACTACTACATAAATCAGCAGTGCGAAATAATTCACTCTCTCGAAAAAATCGATGATAAAAATGCTCTCTTGTGTAAAAACAAAAACAAATGTGAGTATCTCACAAATTATGTGTTCCAAAGTCTCGGCATAGAAAACGTCCCAGAAGCAGATTTCTCAAATTTAAGTCCGCCACTTAACGCAAAAGTTGAGAGAAAAGAAAAATGCAACAAAGAAGTGCAGCTAAATGAAAAAATCAAATGCATGTGCTGCATCAAAGAGATGGAAAGCAGTGAAACGGAAAAAATAAATGGCGAGTTAACCCCAGGGCAAACAACCAAAAATGGTGTGTACCCCTTCGGTGACTGCAAATGTATTCTAAAATATGAAGTAGACAATGAACACGCCTTAAATGCCGATAAATGTAAAAACTTCATCTGTAATAGTGGGATGTGCACATTGCGGATGGATGGAGAACCCTTCTGCTCCTGCGAGGAGAACCATTATTTCGACAAAAGAACTAATGCGTGCATAAGGCATCAAGATGAGGTGAACGCAGGGGCGAATCAGACGAATGAGGCAAGTCAGTCGGTCATGCGGAAACCGCGCCCTCTAACATATGAAAGCGAATCGAACGGAAACGAAATATACGACGATCAGAAAAATGGGGAACATACACAGAGAGTTGGTGCTAACCAAGATAAAGGCAGCGACACACATTCTCATACCGCTCAGGGAAGCCCAAATAACCACGAAAACAGAAACCCAAACAATGCGTTCACTGATGAGTGTCCAATAAATCACGTAAGAAATAAACAGGGGGAGTGCCAAAAAAAGGAAAGCAACTCAGCCGAGAATATTTGCCTCAGAATAGAATGTTTCGTCAATTCAGACCCATCAGAATGCGCATGTATAGATAAAAATGGGCAAAAAATAGAAAAAGCTATCTTCGACGTTTCCCACATAACAGTGTGCACCCTCAACAACATAAACTGTGACTACGGAACATGCAATAACTCGCCAAAAAAGGGGGAACTTGCATGTATTTGCAACAAGAAGTATAAATATAACAGCTCTTTGAAGGTATGCATTGGTTACGCCGCAACACGCCTTCTCAGTTGGATCCTCATCATCGCACAGTTCGGCATAATTGCAACTGCGCTGTGAGGTGAAGAAAAGAGTTAAATACATGGGCTCTCTATCCCTTCCTTTTCCACACATCAAACAACCCAATTAAATAATTCACATGGAGCTACGTTTCACCCAGGAAGGGTATCCAC